AAAAAAAAAAAAAAAAAAAGATGATGACGATGTTTTAAGTCTGAGTGACAGGGAGAAGGATTGTGCTACTAATAGAAACAGAGGATGCATAATGGACCTAGTGGCAGGGAAGGAGGGAGACAAATTCAGATTTGAATAGGAAGTGACAGGAGGACAATCAGGTTGAATGTCCTTAAGGAAGGTGGAAATATGGAGCTTTGACTGTGGAACGGAGCCCGGGAGTGGAGACGTGCGTTTGAGAAGCAGACATCTGAACGGAGTAGCTGGAGAAATGAGAACAGGAGACACAATTCCAGGTGAAAGATTTAACCAGGGAAATGGGTTAAAAAAAATAAACAAACTAAAAACAGAAAGAATAAAGCCAGACCAGCCAGACTATCAGCTGAATAGCTGGATTTTAAATCGGCCAGACCAAATCAACCTTCCATTGTATCGATGTAAACACAGAAAGAGAGCTCAAATATTTACATGCAACTGGTATTCACTAAGTCCCCATCAGCGTTCATGGTAGAAAAAGGCAGGATAGTAGAGAAGCATTTCACAAAGAGAACGAGTAGCTTACAGAGTTGATTGGTCCTACAGTGCAGACCATGAGCGCCATGGAATGGTCTGTGAAATGCCACGTGCACAGACTTTTTCTTGCTTTGGTGATCCTGTGGGTTCCATCTGTATTATTTCATGAATGGGTCACACTGCACACACTGTAGGGTACAGATTCTTGAACATCCTTGAACTATTTGGCTTTTTAAATTTGACACTAGACAGGTATCTCTGGTAGAGGCAGAAGCTATATTCCATAGCTCATAAGTACAGGGATTTGTACATATTACAGGGGAGACGTGTCACCCCAAGCATGGCCGCTTCACAACAGAACACAATACAAGGATAACGAGGGGTTTCATCTTGCCCCCCAAACCAACATCTTAACACCATGCCAAAGCATACATTTTGAGTTGCTATTTTTTCAAAATATGGTAATAATGGAGAATCCAGGATAGAGTGAAAGTACAGATTATGTTTCATGGAATACAAACTGTAAATGTATAAAGTAATTTAAATCTCTGTGTCTCTAAGCATTCTTTTTTTTTTCAGCATATTATGGGGGTACAGATGTTTAGGTTATGTATGTTGCCCATGGCCCCCCCCCCCCCCCCAAGTCCAAGTTTCAAATATGTCCATCCTTCGGGTGGTGCGCATTGCACTCTTTGTGTATGCAAATACCCATCCCCTCTTCGCCCCTCCCCCCTCCCCTCTGCCCAACATCCAATAGATGTTATTCTTATATGTGCATTTATGTGTTGATCAGTTAATACCAATTTGATAGTGAGTACATGTGGTGCTTGTCTTTCCATTCTTGGGAAACCTCACTTAGTAGAATGCGTTTCAGCTCTATCCAGGAGAATACAAGAGGTGCTATATCACCATTGTTTCTTAAAACTGAATAGTACTCCATGGTATACATATACCACATTTTATTAATCCACTCATGTATTGATGGACACTTGGGTTGTTTCCACATCTTTGCAATTCTTTACACACTATCTCTGCTTCTTCTAAAATGGTCATTATTTTCGGACTTTAAAAAATTTGCTTTATCTTACCATTAACTATTTCCCCATCTGTTGGCTAAAACTAAGTTTAGATGACCTCAGCATTCCCTAAACCTATCTTGGATATACTTTTCTGCCTTATTAATCATCTGATCCCTCATTGTAGGAATTTCATTTTACTTCTTTTTTGTAAATATTACCATAACTGATTATGGGATGTTGACGAAATGACATACCTACTATCTTATGTTACCTCAGACATCTTTAATTGAATGAAATATAATAGAATATCAAGATCTCAAGCTATTTACTTCTAATACAATGCATCACAAGTAGAAATTGTATGTGTATGTTTAAACACATAACATAGCTTTCCTGGGTGGGGAAAATTGTAGGCAGATGCTTGTTTGCTTTTCCCAAAAGTTCTGCAATAGCAAAGTGTAATCCATCAACAACTTGGGGAGTGAATGGAAACAGATCATGAAATCCAATTGCCTGCCAGCTTAGCACAGACATTAAAGATTTCCTGGCTAGTATTTGTAAAGAACGGGCATCATTTCGTCTCCTGTGCAAGGTAGGGTGCTGTGAGCTGGCTGGGTGCTGTCACCTCTCCCTGAATCTTTGTGAAACTCGAGCTCTCACACCCCAAGCTTTCCCATAATTTACAAAGTATATTAAAAGAGACCTTGTACATATTGAAAGGGAGATTGTATGCTTTTTGTTATTTCGTCAATCACATTATGATTGATGAAATAACAAAGAATGTCAAAAAATTAAGCCCCAGAAAAGGTAAGTTGGCAAAGATATAACTTCATGGAGATGAAAATGAACTAAATTTAATTGTAAATTCAGGATATCAAGTCAAAAAGGAGAACATTACCAACTCTGAGCTTCTTACACATGTGAGAATTTTTTTGGTATTTTGTGCTGGAACAAGAGAACAAGAAGCCTCAGGGGTCTGTCCATGATGAGGCAGCCAGTGGACAATCTCAGATCCAAGGACACACTGAGGGACAACACACGGAGCTGGTGGAGCTTCATCTCCGCGGCTGTTCCTCCTTGGTAGACCACTGGTCTCTGTCATCTCTGAGCAGGTGGTCACAGAGATAGGCACTCAACACACTGGCCAGACCATGAAAGGAAAGTGGGCATTTGAGATGTAAACAGAATAAATATGTAGTTTGTGACCACAGTGTTTTTCCTGTCTTTCTCAGAAAGACAGAAAAATTGCATTTGGGGAAATATTTCAGTTCCTTAGGAAGTACTGAAAGACTGGAAAGCAAGGTACTTCCTATCACTCTGAAGGTGCCTTCACTAGGATGAGAAATAGTTTTGCTTTCATCTTGTCCTGTTGTTAGAATTATGGTCAAGCTATTTTGACTCTTCCTCATTGAACATCCGGGACAGGCTATGACCAATATGACCATTGGCTCAGCCTCTCTGGACCTCAATTTTCATCTCTAAAACTCTAGTTTTAATTTTTGAACCAAGAAAAAGATGCTTCGCACAACATGCCTGACGTGATGTAATAATGCCAAGGCATTTTTTTATAGTGACAGATTATCAAGAATGTGTATGTTCTTGCTTTTTTTTATAGAACATTATCAGATGAGTGTGTTGGAATCAGCTCCAATTAGCTCCACTGTGGGGAGAGTGTTTGCCAAGGACTTGGATGAAGGAATCAATGCAGAGATGAAATATACTATTGTGGATGGAGACGGTGCAGACGCCTTTGACATCAGCACAGATCCCAATTTCCAAGTCGGCATCATAACTGTAAAGAAGGTAATCCAACTTCTTTTTCCAAACCACTTTCATGGGTGTTTTGAATGTACATG